CTTTGCGAAGCCCCTTTGCGAACGCACATTGTCACGCTGGAAAGCCGCCGAGAAGCAGCACCCGCTACTGATCAGTATTTGGTGATTGCTGCACTATCGATGCCAAGAGATACCCGAACAACATGTTCAAAAGGACGCCCAAACAGGCAGGCCGTGCAAGATCCGATGGCTTTGAATACCTACGCGGAGTCATTCTTAGAGCACGTGTCTTCGGCGACGGCGGAGTCCATGAACGTGCGTAACGTGCATGGCATGCGGGACTGCGGGAAGACAGCAGTGCAGATCGCAACAGACACTTTGCCGAAGAAACAAGCTGAAGTCGTCAAGCCATGGATAACGCAAGCCACGCTCGACTTGATCGACCGGCGGGCGCAGCCAAGCAAGAGCAACCGACGACAAAGCCGAGGATAATCAATTACCGAAAAAAGTCAGCAACGCGTGCAAACATGACAAGACAGTTTGGGTGGATGCGCAGATATCGAATGGAAGTTGGGATGCTCTCAGAAAGATATTGCTGGCCCGAACCTTACCGGCAGGGAAGACTTAAAGACATGAGTGGCGAATTGGCCGACAGCACTCAAAGAGCAGATACAATGGTTGAGTATTTGGAGAAAGTACAATAGAAAGTACGACCGGCACAATTTGTCGACGACGACCCTATTGGAGACCCACTACCAGCTTTGGAAGGAAGTTTCACAACAGAAGAGGTCATAACAATTATGCATAAGTTTCAGCGTGACGAAGCTTGTGGAATGGATGACGCACCAGCCGAGTATTGGAAAGCTATTGCTACAGACCCCGCCGGGCTCGAATGTGTCACGGATTTGTGCAGTAAATGTTGGAACGAGGAGGCCGTGCTAGAGGATTGGAAAGCAGCCCATCATCTTGACAATTTACAATAACAAAGGCGCCCTCGACAACTGCGACGATTATCGTCCAAGCAGTCTGCTGTGCGTGGCTTACAACCTACAAGCTCATGGCAGCGCACATCTTGAACCGGCTACAGGACGCCGGGGCCGAGGATTGGTTAACGCCAACACAGTTCGGCTTCCGCCAGGGGCGTGGGACAGCAGACGCACTACGTGCTGTACGTCGTTACATCGAGTTGGCATTTGCCGACACGCATGGGGGCGTAGCCTTCGTCACGCTGGATTGGATAAAAGATTTTCGACTCGATCGACGTGACCGCGCTTTTGGAGGCGCTGCGAAACTTCGGGGTCCCGGGCCGCGTCCTGAACATCATCGGCAACATTTACGGCGGCAGAACATTCCGCGTTGCAGATGGACGGCAAAAGTCTACAGAAAGACACCAATATTCTGGAATCTCGCAGGGATGCCACTTGTCCCCACTCTTGTTCGCGATGGTGATGACGATTGTTGTCGGGGACGCCGCGCGCCACGCAGAGGCTGGAGCGCGACAAGCTTTGACGGACGAGTCTTTGGCTTTACTTTTGTATGCGGATGACATTTTGCTGGTGGGCAGCAACCAAGATCGCTTCAAGCCCTGCTGGCACAAATCGCTCGCGCAGGAGCACGGGTGGGTATGGAGCTACACTGGAACAAGTTTCAGCACATGCCGCTTCGCTGCGGTATCTACCTCTGCACGCGTAGTGGCGACCAAATCCAACCACGAGGTTCGATGGCAAATCTCAGAGCCACGCTGTCTAGCTTTGGGCAAATATCTGAAGAATGGAGCAGAAGATTGGGAGCTGGTTGGGGCGAGTTCTAAAGATATGCGCGCGCCTGGAGGCATTCGTCCATTAGTGTGGATAAAAAGCTTCAGGCTCTTTTTCAAGCATGACTGACACATGAAGTTATATACTCGCTGAATGTGGCGTGGCCCGACAAATCTGAACACAGACAGTTAGATGGTTTCCAAGCGAGGTGCCTACGTCGCATTTGTCACCGTCCCCACGCTTACTGGTCAAGAATTTCCAATGAGCAGACGCTGTTGCAATCAGGCCTACAGCCCTACACACTGCAGCTGTTGGTCTCGATTGTTGTGTTTGAGCAAAATATGCAGGGCGAGAAATTCAGATTGTTTGCGACGCCTAACCTTCCAACCAGGAAGCGCGCGACCAGCCACAGACGCGCGCGGTCGTGCAAGAGTCCGGCCCAGAAATCAATGGGCCAAGTGTTTATACAAAGCCATCGCTCCGCAATTCCCGTATGAACAAGCAATAATGATGTGTCAGCGAACCAGCAGCTTGGCATCAATTTGTCAGTGATTCTGTGTCTCTCCTTCGCCCTTCCCTCCCTCTTCCTCCTCCTCCCCCTCCTCCTCTTCCCCCTGCAGCGTAAGAAGTACCGTAGAAAGTAGGCGTGCCGCCTTCCCCGCAAAGCGGTGAGAAGAGGCTGGCAGTTTTCACCTTCGCCCACGCGCTCCGGCGCATTGTTCGTCTGTCTGTCAGACTCCGCCGATCTGCGTGAGGGTGCCGCCGGATTTCAAACACGTAGCAAATCCCATTGGTTTTTCGACCCTGACATCGCCGCTCTGCGTGAGTGGTGCCGCCAGATTTCAGAAGTGTGGCGAATCCACTGGGTTTTTGGACGCTGACCTCGCCGGTCTGCGTGAAGGATGCCGCCGGAGTTCAGAAATGTGGCAAATCCCGTTGGTTTTTCGATTCTGACCTCGCCGATCTGCGTGAGGGGCGCCGCCGGAATGCAGAAATGTGGCAAATCCGATTGGTTTTTCGACCCTGACCCCGCCGATTTGCGTGAGGGGTGCCAATTTCGATCCCCACAGAAATTTTGAAGAACCTTCCCAGGAGACGCTAGATTTGGTGATTTTCGGTTCCCCGCCATCGCGCGGTCTACAACAAGGAACAGTAAGCAGCATAAAGCAATATTGTAACAGCGGAAACTGGACACTGAAACTGGCGCAGGGAACAGCAAACCTTGGTCCTACAGTCTGATGGCCCCACAAGGGGGACGGTGGATTGTATTGCCTTCCACAGGGAGTAGTGTTACTGCATTTCCCCCGCAGGTAGGGTATTGTCTGTATTGTTATTGTATTGCCCCCGCCCGACATCGCTTTCATCACCCCGTCCTTCTCCAGGAGAGTTCTCCTCGCCTTTTCGTTTCCCAGGCATTGTTCTGAACTGCTGCGCATTGCTTGACATCGCGTGAGATTGATTCGCGTCGCTTCGCATTTCTTCCCATCGTTTTGCATTCCGCCCCGAATTCCGCCGACTTCGAATATATGTTTCATGTTTTAGCGTGCAGGTGCATTGCCAGCAGCTGCAAGTCCCAGGAAGTTCCCCGACTTCCTGTTTTGAAGGCGTTGGCCGAAACACCTCGAATGCATGACATATCGTCCCACCTCTCGCTATGTGGTGCAAGCTACGTGTTGCAATCTATGACCCGGGGTTGCCGCCCCCCTCCCCTCCTCCAATGCATATGGGATCGAGACCTCCCTCGGCTGGATGGGCACGCCCGTGAGCCTCGCGAAGGCCTCGCGAATGGGATCGAGACCACCCCCCTGTGGTCGCAGCCCTGTGTGCGTGGCGTGGTGGAGGATGTCATTGCGCCCCCGCCCTCCCCCATGTGGGTGTGGGGTGGTTCGCCGTCGTCGTCGTCGTCGTCGGCGGCGGCGGCGGCTGCGTCGTTGGCGTGGACGTCGGCGTCGGAGGCGAAATCGTCGTCGTCGGCGTCGGCGTCGGCGTCGTCGTCCCCCCCATCCCATCTGGGGTGGGGGTGAGGGCCTGTGGAACCCCGGGACCCCTCCCATCTGCCGGGGGCCTGTGAACCCTCGACCCGGGATGACATGTGCTACAGTATCTACATGGTGCAACCTACGTGGTGTGAGCTACTTGCGCACATCGCACGACACGTCAGACCACCCTCGGCCACTCCGAGCAGGACCGCAGGACGGCGCCCACAGGGGAAGTCAGCGTGAGCCGCGGCACGGTTTCAGGGGTGGTGTCCCCGTCCTCGGGGCCTTTTGGGGTGGGCAGGGCTAAAAGGAGCTCCCCTCTTCTTTGATCGATGTCCTCCAAGATGGCGCGCGCCAGGGGCGGCGCTGGAGGCGCCACCAGGGTTATGATGTTCCAACCTACTTTAGCCTGGATCACCAGAAAGAATTTCGAGCGCACCCCAAAACTCGAGGGTTTTCACGTGTCGGGCCCCGGGAGACACTCTTTCGACACTCTTTCGACACTCTTTTCTGGGAGCTCGAAATGATGTCTGGGATGTGGTCCTTAAGCCAGCGCCCGTCTTGGATGTGGACCTTCCGGGGCGGGTGCCCCCCCTGCCTCCCGCAGGGAGTACTGGTGCTGTGGCGCCTCCCTCAGAGAGTCCTGGCATCGCCACCGGCCCCGAGAGGTTCTCCGGGGCCTCTCCCTGGCCCGACGGCCGACCTGTGAGTCAGGGGACCAGCTTTGAGTTGCCGCGCACGCGCACGCGCGCGCGTAGCGCGAGTCACAGGAGAACAGCGATGCCGATACTATTACCCATTGGTCGTTGAAAGTAGGTATTTCTGGATTCGCAGGTTCGTACTTCTTCCGGCCGATGTGTACCCTCTCCTCATCGCCACGGCTGGATTCGGCTCCAAGTCTTGTTCAGGGCGCACCCCAGGAGAGACCCGGGGAGCAGCGGTCTCGGTACCAGTGTTGCTCCCCCCTCAATGGAGGTGGCCTTCCATGAAGCCGAGGGGGACTTCTCAGGAGGCAGGGTGCCTTTTCGGGCCCCGGAGGCTTCGTGCCAAGAGCAGGCCTCTCGGAAGCCGGGGGCAGGGGGCTTCTGGCGAGCCCCCCCTGTCTCATCAGAGACCCCCCCCGCTCCGCCTTCTGAGAAGGCTGCCCCCCCCAGACACACGGCGATATGGTTCTTCCGATGCGCGGTCCCAGAGGTCCCGTCCTTCCCCTTCCCGTCGTTCCCCAGGGGTCCCCACCCCAGAGGCCGAGGCAGAGGCCGAACGCCGGGGACGTGGAACAGACACGCATCCTCGGAGATCTGGGCCCCTCGCGTGAAGTACCCCCCGCCGTGCGCGCCGCGGAGAGGCCCTGTCCGCCTACTACAAGAAGAACAAGATGCCCATCGGCCTTGTGCAGGTCCCTCGGAGGGGCTCGATGCATACAACCACGTCGTTCTGTCGGCCGAGGAGCCCACGAGTGCGGCAAGGGAACCCGGTGCATAGGCGCTCCAGCACCCCACAGGTTGGGAAGCGGGGGCGTCGATACGCCGCGCCCCTTGGCCGACCAGGCGACTTGGTGCACGTACCGTCAAGACGCTGAAAATAAGGACCACTTTGGGCTGGGGAGGGGCTCTGGATTTCGGCCCCGTTCCTTAACCTGAGAGCCGACGTTTCAAAAAATTGAGACGCTTTGAAAACTCGAGCCTGGGGCCCTAGACCCTATCTTTTTGCGCCACTTCTCGAGCCGCATCGATTCGTGACGGTCCCGGGGCCCGAAATTTACGCGAAGACCCCCGGCTCGAAAAAAAATTGAGCCGCCAGGATCTCTCAGGGTAGCCCCTTCGAAGCCGCGGCTCGCCGCGGCCAGGTTAAACGCTACCTTGCACCCGGTCCAGCGTGCCTTGCGGCAGCACGAGGGCCGGCCGCACGCTTCGAGCCCCGCCCAGGCCCCGGCCAGGGCCGCGGCGGCACTCGCGCAGGAGCGCCGGGGCCTGCGCCGCGTGCGGCGCCACGGCGTGGGCTCGGCGGCGCCTGGCGACGGGCCCCCCGCTCCTCCTCGTCCTGCTCGTGCTCGTGCTCGTGCTCCTCTCTCTACTCCCCCCCCTTCTCGTCATCCTGCTCGTCCTCGTCATCCTGCTCCTCGTCCTCCTCCTCCCCCTCCTCCCCCTCCTCCTCCTCCTCCTCCTCCCCCTCCTCCTCCTCCTCCTCCTTCGTGACGTTGGACAAATGTTGGCTTACTTGAGCCCTCGCGTCTTGGTGGCAACGATCCCTAAGAAAGAAACTGTTCGGAGCACAGCGCTTGATAAAATAAAGGGTAGGCCCAGGTTTTGCAGCAGCGCGCGCTGACGAGAAGCAAGATATGGGAGACAGTTGGGAGCAGAGATTCTAGAGCACGCTCCAACGCCTGGATGTGACAAGGATGACCTCCGATACCCATCCGCCCCCCCGGACATGTTCGAGAAAATGCCGATGCAAAGATGCCTTCGGGTACCGCACGCGATGACTAAAATGCCGGTGCGGTGGGCGGTTCCGCGCTCACCGCATCATATTCGAGCCGTTCCGTCTGGAGGTCGGTGCAGGCCCATTTGAAGATGCCCTTGAGAGTTTCTCCGCCACCTCCATATCTCCTGCTCATCGTCCTCTGCCTTGGATGCCATCACCTGGGGTCATCGCTTGAAACTGCGGTCTCGATGACTGAATGCCCTTACTAAGGGCCATCGCCTGAACTGTGGCTGCCTTCGCCTAGGGCCGAGACGGTCAACACGCTCGCAACGGTCGACGCGCGGTGGGTCAGTGTTCCTCCACCACTCCCTCTCCTCATCAACCTTACCTGCCGCATCCACGCAGCAGCGGGTGACTAGGACGCATGATGTAAAACATGTCAGGTCCAATGTGACAATGACCTGCGGTAGGCTTGGGCCAATGTACCGATGCCCGTCCAAGTGGCGTGTGCATACATATATATATATATATATATATATACACACACATATATATACATATATATATATGTATCCTTAGAAACGCAAAGGGCCGATGTGAAAGTGCTCAGGGAGTACACGATGCCTTCACCGAGGGAACTTAGAGAGAAACACTGCATATACGACCATATCACCGTGACCAGAGTTTCTTTCAATCTGTCTTTGCGTATCGCCCAACAGGGCGGAGCAGTTCAGAGTAGAAGTGCTCCAACTACTCCGCGCACGAGCCCATGCTGCTCGAAACTTTCCAGACTGTGGCGCGGAGTAGTTTCCGATCCGGTGTTGGGGTAAGAGAGTTATAAGCATCGGGCGGATCGGAAACGATCTCGCCCAATGACGCCATCATCATGGCGTTATAAATCTTAAGAGGGATGGGAGATGTCTCTGCCATCGCAAATTGAATAACAAATTATAGACGCTTCGCGTATCCCCACCAGCCCATCCAGAAACGATGTCCAGGCGAGTTGAGGTGACCAGGGAAGTGCGGAAGCGAAGAGGGGGACGGCCGAACCGTGCGAAGGAGAGATGTGGAGAGGAAGGATGAGGCTGGATGGATGGATGGATGGATGGATGGACGAATGAGGGAGTGGGGATGAGGAGCAGGAAGAAGAGAAGGAGGATGATGATGAGGAGGAGGAGGAGGAGGAGAACGAGGACGAAGAGGAGGAGGAGGAAGAGAAGGAACAGGATGAGGACTGAAGACCAGGAGGAGGAGGGCAAGCAGATGAGCCAGAGGTCTCCTGGATGCCTGTCGGAGCCTCTTGGGATATCTCTTGGGCGCTTCTTGGTGGCCTTTTGGGACGTCTTGGGGGGCTATTGGCGGTCCTGGGGGGCTCTTGGGCGTCTTGGGTGCCTCGGGAGGGGCTTCTTGGGGCCGCTTGGGATCTTCTTGGGGGCCTCCTGGGAGCCTCTTGGGGGCCTCTTGAGGCCATTTTGGGGCCATCTTGGGGCCTCTTGGGGACTCCTGGGCGCTTCTTGGGGCCATCTTGGAGGACATCGATCAAATAAGGGGATGGTAACAATTCGGTTCCCCCCCAAGAGGCCCAAACCCTAGTAAAACCAATGATTTTGGCTTCCTCGCCGAGGCCGTTTTGGACGCTCCGACGACTCGCAGAACCCCCTGTCCAGGTCCAGGGGAAGGGGTAGGGGGAGGGGTAAACCCCTCCCCGAAAGGGGAAGAAGGAGGGGTGGAAGAGGAAACGTCCCTAAACCACCTACGCCCAGAGGGCTTGTGGGATTGCCACGACTGTGTTGTTACCATGAATCCACCTCAACAGCCTCCACCTCCAACATCCCGAACTCCACATAAACACCACCGCCGAGAAATGCCTGCAGTCGATGTCGCTCCATGGCTGCTCCACATCGCGTGCAAACAAGAGGTCTTACAACGTTGCGTGGCATCCGAATCCAAAACACTGCCTCCCCGAGAGACCAGAGCCGTCTCGAGCACAGCCCCCCCATGACATCCACAGAAGCACCACCGAAACAAAGCATGGCAGCCGCTGCCTCTGGGGCGGGCGGTGGGGTCCCGTACCGGTGCTCGTCGGCGATTGACCCACCCAGTCGCCGGCCACCGCCGCCGACCCAGCGGGCTTTGCCACGCGCACACGCGCACGCACGCACGCGCACACGCGCGCGCACACACACACACGCACGCACACGCTCACACACGCACGCACTCACGCACGCACGCCTACACGCATACTCTCTCTCTCTCTCACACACACAAGCACACGCGTACGCGCGCACAGACACACAGGCACGCGCACACACGCACACGCACACACGCACACACACACACACACACACACGTAAGCACCCACGCCCACAAGAGGCGGAAGAAGCAGGGAAAGGCAAAGAAGCAAAGGGAATATTGGGCGGGGGGGGGCGTTCATGGAGTTTCAGTGCATGAGTGCTGATGTCTGTGACCAGCATCATAATTATAAGGCGTAACATGCAAGTCGGATAAGCGCCTCTTGTGTTCCCCTCAGTGTGAATATCTCGTCTCCCGCAGTAAAGGTCAGGTCTTCGGTGACCAGATTCACGCACATGTTTCTTAATGAGATTGTAGAATGAGGCGCATCAACTAGTGAAGTAAAAGGTATGTTGGCATAATCGGGGATGCCCCTTCCACGATCTTTCAAGTTATGCAAATCGGCAGCTGTCCCGCGTGTCCGAATGGATTTGTGCGACCGGCATCCCTCTGCATCTCAATTGTGAATTCGTCAGAAGGTTTGGTGTATGAAGTTCCCAGAACACCTAAATCGACAGCGCGTGCAAATTGATCGCCCGAGCGAGGAGTGAATGTAGGAGGTGACGGGCACTGACTGAGCGGTGGCACCACGTTCGCGTTAGGTGTAATGGTAGGTAAAACCAAACGCCCGTCGGGTGGACGTTCGGATGCGAGTTTTGTCATTTGGAAACGTGGAATTGTGCTAATAGTGCTGCTGCTAAGCTAGCTTCGCAATGTTGTGTGAATGAAGTGTCATCACGCCATTCCGTTATTTCAAGGACTGTGTCTCGCGCTGTGCCTTCAAAATGTGAACCCGTCGATCTCGCTCCCATCGTTTTTGGGGACTTTGATGCAACGTGACGACGCTGCCGTTGAAAGTCATCATGATAGAGATGTTGCGGGCTATCATCACATTGCTGTGTATACTGGTGCTGCCAGCCGGCGCAATTTTGCCCGAGAGAGAGAGAGGGAAAGAGAGAGAGAGAGAGAGAGAGCTGAGGCATCATAGGGTCAGCGAAAGAGATCATGTGTATGTACGTTGCGCAGTCGTGATCGATCGAGCGGGGGGAAAGCGCGAGAGATCGGACACCGCGCGTGGCTTCAGACACGCCACAGTTGCGTGGCCGTTGGAAGCTTCTCCTCCTCCTCCCCCCTGCCCTCTCCTCGTCCTCTCCGTCCTCGTCCTCCTGCTCGTGCTCGCCCTCCCCCCCCCCCTCTTCGCCCCTCTCCTCCAGCTCCTCTTTCCCTGGAGGCCTCCGGCCGGGCCTGCCGGGCCGCCCGAGTACACCGTGAACCCCGAGAAGGCCAGGGGTCATGCCGACGGGGATGCCGCATACCGCGTGCCGCGGCCCTGCCCGCGCCGCCACGGCTGGGTCCGCCTCGAGCTTCGGGCCAGACCGCACCCCTGGAGAGGTCGAGGGGGCAGCGGCACCGGTATCTCTCTGCTTCCCCAGATCCGATTCGACGACGACGACGACGGCGATGGCGATGGCGATGACGATGACGACGACGAGGTCGACGACGACGATGGCGATGGCGATGTCGATGTCGTCGTCGTCGTCGCTTCAATCTCGGCAAGCCTAGTCCAGGTCGAATCTGGCCTTCGACGGCTCGGTGCGGCCCGATGCCTGCAGGGCGCTGCTGTGCATCCGGGCGTGGCCGATCCGATGTTCGATTGCGGCTCCGTGCCGTCGCGGCCCGACTCGATCCGATCCGACCCGTTCTGCAGTCGAGGCGTTGACCTGAGGAACCCTCAATATCGCAGGCCTAGAGATTGACACCAACACCAATTTCGGCGGTGTGCCTCCTCCGAGGGAAGAAGATCCCGATCTCGATGATGGTGGTAATATTCTGGCTTCCAAGGTGACCGAACTATTACCACCAACACCGAAACTCTTGGATCATCTTCCCCCTGTGGAGGCAACCCCCTGTGTTGGTGTTGGTGCCAATTTCCAGGGCTCCAACAGTAAGGAACGAGGCCCCGGTCTTCCATACGTCGATCTTCGGCTCCCCATCGAAAATTGAAGGGCAACCTAAGGCAGACTGTGAAAGGACGAAGGAACACGAAGCCCCTCCCCAACGAAAAGGGTTCCTTCTTGAGCGCCTCGACTGGATCGATCCGATGCTGACCCTTCCTGAAAGGCTCCCGAGACTATATGGGAGGAAGGTGACTACAAGGGATCCTCATCCGAAGCCGGTGGCCTAGTGGCCATCCTGCAGATGATCCAGGAGGACTTCGAGAAGGAGATCGCGGTAGCGCGCAAGGGGGACTCCGCGGCGCAGGCGACGTACGAGGAGAACATGGCCGGGTTGAACGAGATCCTGGAGAAGTTGACGGCCATGCGGAACAGCCTCGACAAGGATTTGGCCGAGCTGAAGGTCAAGATCGTGGGCATGGAGACCACCAAGGGCTTCAAGGGTACCAGCCTGGAGCTGGAAGTCGAGAAAAAGAGCACCCTCGAGGGCGATTGCGGCTGGGTCAAGACTCACTTCCAGAGCCGTCGCGACAAGCGCAAGGCGGAGATGGACGGGCTCTTGGAGGCCAAGAATTACCTCGCCGGGATGGAGTCGGAGATGGCCGGATCTGACCAGTAAGGGCCCCGCAGCAGCGCGATCTGTAGGGGTCAGCCACGCGCAGAGGGGGTAGGGGGAGGGGGGAGGGCTTCTTGGAAGCACCCCCGCTTCTCAGAAGGCGCGGGCCTTATCTTTAGATGCAAGGCCGGCGCCTTCTAAGAAGCAGCATCCTTCCAAGAAGCCGTCCCCCCTTCCCACCTTCCCCCGTGTCTGCGCCGCTGAGAGGGGGCTTGGGCCCCCGAGAGCCGGCCGCGGGAGCCCGGGAGCGGTGGGCGCAGCGCATCCGCCTCCTCGCCGTGGTCGCCCTCGTCGTCTGCATCGTGCTCCGCGTCCTCGTCGCATCCGTGCCCCCCTTCTGGCCCCCTGCTCCTCCAGCTCCACGCCCTCTTCCATCCTGGCCGTCCTCCTCTCCCCCCCTATCCTCCTTTCCCCCTTCCTCCTCCCCTGTCCCCCTCTTGTCCCCTGCCGTCACCCCCTTCCTCCACCTGTCTTCTCCTTCGTCTTTGCATGCCCCCATTCTCCGTTCCTCCCCTTCCTCCTCTCCGACTTCCAGAACTCCAGCTTGGAGTCCTTGATTCTCCCCCTTCACAAGTCTGCAAAGAGTCCCAGCCCATGTGATTGACAGTCCAGAGTTGACTGGAAGTGAGTGGTGGAAGAAATCATGTAACGAGCGACGCCGCAGATACTGCGGCGAAGGCTGGATTGGCCTCGCACACATCTGGCGCTGAAGCTGAACTAGATGAAGTTCCCTGCCCAGTCTGTCTGCTGGCTCGCGGCCCGCTTCCTCCCCCTCTGTCCCGCCCTGGACCTCAAAGGCCGTCCGCTGGTTCGGAAGGGCCTCTCGGAATGCGCTGCACGAGGTGGAGTCTAAGAGTTGGCGTTGCAGCACCTGCATCCGCATCACAAGGTAAGGCACCTTTAAGTTTGGCGAGTCCCAGGTGCCCTCACCCGAGGGGTGCTCTGGGCGGGGGCCAGAGAGCATCCGCTTTGTTCCAGTCCGCGCCAGTGCCTCCTGTCTTTCTGGTGTTCGGACGGGTCGCTTTGTTTTGCGGGCGTATGCCGCAAGGCCTAGATGAATATCATCCCACCGCCACTCCTCAGAGGGGAAGGCGCGCAGCTGATTCGCAATAATCCGGACAACTGGAAAAGGAAGATCCCAAAAAGGCAAGTGCATTCGTTCGAATGGCGTTGTGTGCGAGGCTTTCCCGTAAGAGGAAAGACGTATTTAGGTATTGCCAATGCATCGTTTTAGATAAAGAGATTGCAGCGCGGAATCCCAGGCTCGGGCACGCCAGAGCCGAAAACTAAGCGGATTGCGATTCTGGCTCTGGTTCAGGCCAGGTCGTGAACCCACAGGGGGAGTTCTTCCGCCCTGAGCGCTGATCGCCCTCCCCCCCCCAGGTTTCGGAGGCGGCAAGGAGGGGGTGATGGCTAAGGGGTTGGGGGGAGATCATGGCGGGGGCCATGATGTCTCCCCAGATTTCATGGAGCCTCTTCTCATTTCAATGCGTCCCTGCCCCCCCCCCCCCTAGGTCGCTCGCGCACATGCCGCCGGCCATGATTTGCGCCCCCCTCTCTTGGACGCCCCCCTCTTGGCCGCCCCCTCTTTGCCCTCTAACGCCAAGGCTCGCCAAACGCTCTGTGCTGGAGGCGGCCAGAGGGTGCACCGCAGATGCACTCGCAACTGACGCTGGCTGTTGGGCATTGCGCCCGTCTTTGTCCGTGCCCATCTGTGTTTACCAGCCTCGAACTTAGAGCCCTATCCCTAAGATTGACACGCCAAAACGCGATGACAATCTCAGGGATACGCCCTCAAGAAATCAGGACATCCCTAAGATTGGCATCGTGATGAGGAGATGCCCAGCATAGGGATAGGGATATGTTCCAGGCTGGTAGTGTGTTCGGCTCAGAGGTAGGTCCAGGCCAGCCTGAGCGGTCGACTACACCTGGCCGAGCTCCACGGACCTGCCCCCCGTGCCCGCGGCCCCCGCAGCGGCGGGCGCCAGAGAGCCCCCCCCTTTCGGCAGAGGTCTCCAGCCTCCGAGAGGGGATCGGTGCCCGTGGGGGGCCTTGGAGCACGGGGAGGCTACCCCGCACCCCCCAGACGGATCGAAACAGCTCCCCCCCCGCGGGAAACCCTCGGGCATCCAGAATCAAACCCGCCCCCCCCATCTGGCCAAGACAGCTTCAGTCAGACCCCCCTCCAAATGTACCTCTCCTTCAGTATGAAGTCCGGAGTCACCAGTTACGCATCCTGAGCTCAGCTGACAAGCGAGTGCGACACCAGAGGCACCTGATGCCTTTCCTGGCGTGCCCAACTTGATGGGACGACGCCACCTTAGTCTCCTCCACCTTGACAGCACGCTCCTTGCCCCGAAGCCTTGCCTCTGCCGCTCGAGCAGCGCGCGAGCTGGGGCCATACAGTTCAGGGGGCCTTCGACGCGATGTCCAGGGCCACTGTAACAAGATGCTTTTGGACCTTCCAGGTCAGCCCATCTAAACGCGCAGCCTCATTAACTGAAACTTCTGAGCTCCACATTATGCCGCCTGGTCGGCGGCTCCACTGACTAACCACAACTGCGAAGGAGGGCCATCGACACGTTCTGGAGCGGGGTGCGTGTGGCTCTTTCCCTTATGCGTAACTATGGAACGGTCCTGGGCAGTCGCCCAACACCTTCTCCAAGCAAACACATCAACCCTGTGGATCAAGCTGGGCCCTCGGTGAAACCCCGAGACCGTGATGGCCGACACCATTGCCAGCACAATGCTTCCAACAGTGCTTCGCAGGGCCTGGATGATGGCCTCGAGCTCGGCCAGGGGACATATTCAATCCAGGGACAGGCCCGTACCCGCCGATCCCCCCGACTTATGGGAAACCCCCACCCACACCTTCGCGGCCTGGCCTCCGAGGGGCACAGCCCGCCCGACCCGTCAGTCTGGACGAAGACGTCCCCCACCTCAGATCACTCGGCGCTTGTTTGAGGCTGGGGAAAAGCACCTCCCCTTCCTCCTCCTCCTCTTCCTCCTCCTCCTCCTCCTCCTCGTCCGTTTTCTCCTCCATCTCCTCTTCCTCGATGGTTGACTCCCGTGCCTCTCCTCAGGGCGCTTTCTGGTCAGTGACTTTCCGAGCGAATCCGGCCGGGGCCGCGGGGGCACGCTTTGGAGAGACGCAGGGCGAGCCGAGAGCATCCCGAAGCATCTCCTCCTCGCCGTCCTTATGGCCACCGGGCCCTCCCCAGGCCTGTCCTGGAGCGCGTCGGGGCTCCGATCTTGGGGCAGACGCAAGGGGGGGAGAGAAGGGCGACAGGGGGGCGGAAGAGGCGGAGGTGGCGGAGGAGGAGGAGAAGGAGGAGGAGGAAGAGGAGGAGGAGGAGGAGGAGGAGTAACAAGGGGAGAGGGTGAGGGGGAGCAGGAGGAGAAGAGGAGGAGGAGGGGGAGGAAGAGGAAGAGGGTGATGAGGGGACGGGGACGAAACGGGGGAGGCGACACAGGAAGAGGACGAGGATGGAGGAGGGTCAGGAGAGTGGGGGAGGAGGGAGAAGGGGAGGAGGAGGTGGCGGGGGAGTAGGGGCAGGAGCAGGAGGAGAAGGGGGGAGAGAGGAGGCGGGGAAGCAGGAGGAGGGAAGGACGAGGAGGGGGAGGACGAGAACCAGGACCAGGACGAGGCGCCCGGAGGGTGACGTCGGTGGCGGCAGCGGCAGCGGCCGCAGCAGTGACGCTCCAGGCCCCTCTGCGCAAGGACACGTGTGCAGGGCCAGGCATACAGGGAATCATACGTCTCCCCGGGCTCCGCCACCGGGCAGGAGTGACGCTCCAGGCCCCTCTGCGCAAGGACACGTCTGCAGGGCCAGGCATACAGGGAGTCCTACTGCTCCCCGGGCTCCGCCACGGGGCGCCCTGCGGGGCACACCATGGGCTCCGCATGGCAGGAGGCCCGAGAGGCGCACGGCGGCCCGCCTCCTCCGGCAGCCTGTCGGCTGCGGGGCGCGGGGGCGCAGAGCAGGAGAGGGCAAGGGTTAACTCGGGCCTGTCCCCCTACAGGGGGATTCTCGACGAAAAATGAAGATACCCCAAAATAACCCAAACATGCTCCCAAAATAGTCTGGGGATTCGTTTTTGAGTATTTTTTTTACCTTTTTGGAATATGTTAATGGTATTTTTATTTTTTCGCCCAAAATTCCCCTGTAGGGGGACATGCCCGACCTACGGCAAGGGCCCCCGTGCCCGGCCCCGCGAAGCCCCTGGGCGCGCGAACAACAGCGGAACCGCTGCCAGCACCGCAACCTCTCCCCACCGCAACCTCTGCCAACCGAGGGGGAGGAGGAGGAGGAGGAGGAGGAGGAGGAGGAGGAGGAGGAGGAGGAGGAGGAGGGGAAGAGGGTGGGAGATGAGGAGGGCAAGGACGAGGAGGGCAATGAGAGGGTTTGGAGGGAGAGGGAGGGGGAAGACGAGGAGGAGGAGGAGGAGGAGGAGGAGGAGGATGAGGAGGAGGAGGAGGAGGAGGAGGAGGTCTGGGATGGAGAAGCGGAGGATACTTGTCTTCCTCTCCTCGACGGCAGACGCCCTCGCCCCCATCGCCTCTGCATTCGCCGCCTCCGCCCCCGATCCGGCCGGTCGTCCTGCCCCACCCTCTCCCCGCCTCCTCCACCTCGCCGCCATCCCCCCCCATTCGCATTCCTTCTCCTTCTCCACCTCGCTCCTCCTCGTCCACGCCCTCCTCGCCCGTTGTCGCCCTCCCTCCCCACTCTTCCTCCCACCATCGCCCGTCGTCTCTTGACGGTGCCACGGGGCCACGGGGCAGGAGACGGCCTCCGGCGCCCGAAAAGATTACGGACAGTCGGCCGTCGCGATCTTTCTCTGCGACGCCCAGACCCGAGGGCTCGCCGCGGGGCCGGCTCCTCCTCCCGAGATGCGTTCTGACACCCTCGCGTGGGCCCTGGCCTGGGGCTCCTGGAGACCGAGGGCGGCCGAGAAGAGCTTTTTCCGCCGCTTCCCTCCGCGGCGCGAGGCCGTTGTGGCACCTTCCGCGGGAGCAGGGGGGGTGACGAGGAGGGGGGAGGGGGGCGGTGGGGGAGGGGTGGGAGGGGCACCCAGACATCTGGTGCCTCGATTAAGGTTGAGGCGGCCAGCTTGTCTCCGTCATTGGCCTCTGGGAGCCAGTCTCGGGATCCGGAGCTGCAACAAAAACGACGCAGGCAGGGCGGCACACGCCAGGGAGGGCCGCCGCCTCGACTGCCCGGCCTTCGCCCCAGAGCTTCAGATCCCTCCCCAGACAGGACCGCGCCGCACACAAATCGGGACGACAAGTTGTCACTATTTTTTCGGCCCCTATAGGGGGGCCTTCGCCGGTCCCCGGGACCGTCCAGAAACGGCTCGGGATGAAAAGCCGGTCCTGGGGAAAGGGTCTATACACTTCCGGGGACGCCGTCCTGAACAAATCCAAGAAGCGAGGGAGGGAGGGAGGGAGGGAGGGAGGGAGGGAGGGAGGGAGGAGGAGGAGGAGGAGGGAGGAGGAGGGAGGGGAGGAGGAGGAGGAGGACCGGACGGGGGAGGTGTTGATATTCGCTCGTCACGGATGCGTCGGTTGTCGGGCCCCGCGGCCCGACCACACGTGGCCCATAGGGGCCGAAGAGTCCAAGAAGCGCTGGGATTGGAAGCAAGCACACGTCGTGGGAGATCGGGGAGGCCCTCCATCCAGCCAGCCCTCGCCCCCCCCCTGCGACAGGGGCAGCGGCAGGCGCCTTCGCCCTCGCCGCGAGCGCCGCGGCCGCCCAGCAGCGCGGGGCCGAGGAGCCCGCGAGGCCGGCGTCGCACGCCGGCTCCGAGGCCGCCTGCCGGCGCTGGTCGTCGTGTGTCGTCGCGCTGCCGCTCGGCACAACCATCGTGTTACCACATGCTGATCTAGTCATGCTCGCGTCGTGAGACACGAATTCGGCGCGGCCCTGATTCCAGGACGCTCTTCTGGCTGACCCAGCAGCGAAGGCAGCGGTTTGCTTTGCTTGGCAGCATATGTTTGCTTTGCTTGGCGTTGCGTTGCGCTGCTTGGGCTTGGCGGTATTTGGCGTTGCTAGGCGTTGTAATTGCTTTGCTTGGCATCGCTTAGCGTTGCTTGGCGTAGCTTTGCATTGTTTGGTGTTGATTGGCATTGCGTAGCGGTGCTGTAACTTTGCATTGCTTGCCGTTGATTGGAACCGCTTTGCGGTTCTTCGCGTTGCTTGGCATTTCTCTGCGTTGTTATGAGTTGCCCGTGAGGAAGCAAGAGCACGCAACTTTAGGCAGTCAGTAAGAAAGCAAGATCGAGCATTGGAGTACAGACCTGGCAACCCGGGAAACGCAGTCAGGAATCAAATCCAAGCAGCCTGAGATTGCAGTAATGAAACCAGATCCAGCAAGCCCGGGGAAGGCAGTAAAGAGGAAAGACCAAGTCACCTTGGGGGACTCCACAGTAACGACCAGTCCTATTCACCGCCGAGTGCTGGGGGGGACCAAAACTAAAGACCTCCCGAGGCTAGGCAATGCTAGATTGAGGAAACACACGGCGGAAGGTTTGTGGCCGTTTTCGGCCTTGGGGGCATCCGCCGGGCCCTGGGACCGTCCAACAATTATTTGGGATGAAGGACTGGCTCTTACGGACAGGGTCGGGATTTCTGGGGACCGCGTATGCAAAAGATCAGAACATCCGATGTCTGGGGAAGGAAAGCTCAATACGGGACGAGGGCGTTTCCTTCCGAGGCGGGGATTGATTCACATCCACCGCCTGGGGAACCGACCTTCATGGACCTCGGGACGCGGTGGGTATGGATACATTCGGGTCCATAGGGCCCAAATATGCCCGTATCCACCGCCTCCTGGGGTCCCATGACATCGGTTCCCCAGGCGGTGATCACGCACAAACCCCCGCCACGCAGTGCTGGCCACGGCGAGCCTCGGCTAGGTTCCCCGACCCACATCTGAGCATCGACCCAACACACAAGAGAATCCGGCGCTGTCCGCCGTCGTCGTCGCGCGCAGCCGGCAGGTGCGATCAGAGCAGGGCCGATGGAGCCAAGACAAGACATTAGTTTGGCGTCGCGGTCGCCTTCGCGCGCGCGGCGGCGCTGCGCTGAGCAGGTCACGCGGCGCGGAGAACAGGCAAACAACAAAAGCGTAGCCTCTCGAGGGTCTTCGCGGATCTCTCTGCACGCATTTCGGTGATGCGCTGGCGCCTTGGCGTCTCTTCTGCATGCTCTGCTTCTCACATTCTTTCTCTCTCTCTCTATTTCCCGCGCCCTGCCGACCAGCATCGGCGGGAGCTAAGAGATTTGCCAGCGGCATGTGCGGGGGACGGGACGGATAACCATTTCAGACAAACGTACATCGTGCAAATATGAAGTTTCGGAGGTCCGTGGGGGTTTCTTGCATCGGCGCTGGACTCTGGAATCCCCCTCCCTGGCGCGCGGAACGCGCCAGGGGCGGCGCCGGATGTGCTGCAAGAGGGCGGGGTCCAGGGCGGATCCACGACATCTATCCACGCAGATCTCAGAGCGCTTGTGTTGATTTGGTTGTTGCTTCTTCTTCTAATGGGACGAAGGTCAGCACCATTTTGAGCAGGGCTCGCTGTCGGCCTTGCCGCGGACGCCGTCCCACTTGGGGCAGGCGTCGCCTGCTCAGCAGCGGCCGCTGTCGGTTCTGGACTGGCTTTGCCGCTGGGCATCGGCCCCACGTTGTTCCGTCCCCCTGTCGGGCGCGCCACGCCCGCCAAGCAACGCGCGCCGCCGCCGTCGTCCCCAGACCTTCTGCGCCGTGCAAAAGTTTCGGTGAACGGTGCTTGGCAATTTTCGGCCGTTGGGGGGGCTCTTTGGGGCCCCTGGGCTTAGGTCGGGCATGTCCTCCTACAGACGGGTCTTGGGCGAAACATGAAAAATATGCCACAAAGGGTTAAACATAGTAAACAAATGTCTCCACACATGTTTTAAACTATTTTTGAACATTCCTCCTGTAGAGGTACATGCCCGATTTAACCCTGGGCCGTCAAGAGAAGCCACTCCAGGGGAAGGGGTCGGAGACTGTTGGGGCCCCCCCTGGGGGCCCACGGCGTGGTGGGTCTGGATCCCCAGACTTCCGACCGATCACGGATGGTATCATTGGCTTCGGCGTCTGGGGTCCTGCTGTCGGGGTCCGGGAGCATCAAGAAATGACGATCCATGACGAAACGCGGGCCCTCCAGGGAAGCTGTCGCGTGGCCTGGGAAGCCCGCATTGGAGAACAGAGGACGGCATTGGACGTCTGGGTCCTAGCCCGTAAGGAGGAGAGCAGGGAAAGAACGGGGGAAGGTTCAGGCAGTCCTAGAATGAGGATACGTCGCGCATCAGATCACTCGACCTCGTTCATCTTCTTCGTCTTCGTTGCCCACCATCTTCACTCGTGCTCTTCTCCTCGCCATCGTCCGCGTCCCCCGACCTCCTGCCCGCCCTTCTCCTCTTCGTCATAACTGGCATCCACATCAACATCCTCGCTCCGCCTCTATCCCCCCTTTTCTCCTCTCGCGCACCTCAAACCCAGCATCCTCTGCTCTGTTTGTCTGAGCCTTGCGAGCGCGAGCTGGGCTCTCAGACGGCATGGGAACCCCATTCCGACTCGGCTCGACACCTCATTCGTCCGACATCTTCATTGTTCCTCGTCTTCTTCCTTTATCCAGGCGTCATCGTTCTAATCACTTCTCCTCCTCGTCCTCCTCATTCTCCAACTCCTCCTCCTCCTCCTCCTCCTCCTCCTCCTCTTCCTCATTTTCCTCCTCTTCCTGGTTCCTCCTCTTCATTGCTCTTGCCCTCACGATAGCGACAATGACTGCAGACAGTGCTGACGACGATGGTGGCGATGACCACGACGACGACGACGACGACGGCGACAACGATGCTGACAGACGGCGATAACGATGACGACGATGATGGCGGCAACAACGAGGCGCCCAGAGTGCGCCGAGGCGGCCGCAGAAGTCTTCCACGGACCTCAAGACGTTTCAAGAACGGTGGCGGCGTCGGCGACCTCCCCAGAGGCGGCGAGCTGCGTGTGGGGCTCGGGGACGATAACGCCCACGCCCGCGCCGCCGCCGGAAGGGCCGGGGCCCCGGATCGCGCCCGGCGGGCAGACTGGCGGGGGGTACCCCACCCCCTCGCGTCGCGCAAGAGTCACGGTTCACCACCCACCAACCCACCCCAACCCAACCCGAAGGCCCCGATTTGCCATCCATTTCCAGTGGGGGGGGGGGTCGGGGACCATCGAAAAAGCACGTATGAAACCCATACCCCCCCAACCCGAAATTCGGGTCTTCGGGCTGGGTTGGGGTGGTCTGGTAGGTAGTCAACGGTGGTCACGACGGTCACAGAAAAACGACTTGGGATGCAAAGCCGGTGCCGGGAAAATTGTCTGGACCTCTGGAGGTCCATGTTTCCGGGCGGGGCAAGTCGCCCAAGCGTTCCAGACCTTTTTCAGAGCGATCCGGAGTGCTCTGGAACGGCCGCGGCGCCCGATTCATCCTCCAGATCCATTGGATCTCAGAAGTCGAAGAGCCATACTCCGGAGCTCGCAATTAGGCAAAAAGACAGCAATGCCAGCCAGACCTCGCCGCTTTGCGGGAGTGGCTGCACCTCGGCCGTCCCTGGATGTCTCAAAATTGGCACCGAGTGCTGCAGGAGGAGGAGGAGGAGCAGGACGAGGGAGGGAAACACCATCAGTAACAAAGCTGCGCCAGGCTGCTGGCTCGTAGGCGCATTGCATCATTGCCACTTCAAAAGAACATTTGAGGGGCAACAACGTTGTACAGACACCTCGCCCATTCATTTCTAAGCCCGCCTCCTCGAGCTCGGGCGCATGCGTCGGTGGCTGGCCGCACGCCTCCCGGCTGGAAAGTGAGCTGACGCAGGAAATCCGAGTCGGACGCCCTGCATAGTTTGCCATGCCACAGCAGCTGATGCCTCAGAAGCTGCACCGTGTACGGTGGGTGGCCTGCTTGAGCCAGCACCTGCCAGCTGGAGACTCCTGACACGCACGCACGGGGGATGTGCAGGATTCGGCGTGCACACCTCGCTTGGAAGCCATCCGGTCTTCTACGCTCCGCTTTGTTAAGCCCCGCAAGAAATGCAGTGAGTACATCACCTTACTGGTCACCAGCGCTTGAACTGCTCGGAGCTTTCGAGCAGTGCTGACTGCTGTGTGCCTCCAAGCGCGGCTGTGTCTGCAGGACTTTCCCGGTGCAGCTCCAAGTCTCCTTCCCAATTCGCTGCGGAGTCGGCCAGAGTTGGAAAGCGTCGCCCGATATACACCATTGAATATGTTGCTGGCATATGTCCACCAGCGGGCGTCGAAAGAGACATCTTTCAACGGACTGGCATAAGTTGAAATGTATGCCAGTGTGATTCCATGCTTTTCGAGAGCCTGCTTTTGACATTTCTCTAAGAAGTCGTTGCAAATCGTCTGGATGGCGGCCCGAAAGCAAGGTGCCGTCCGCGTAGAGCGACACGTCATCTAAAGCTTGTTGTACTTCTGCGCCCCCTGTCGTGTGTAGCACTGCGAGTGACTATCGTCATCACCATAACAGCAGAAAACATGTGAAAGCGGGCAACCTTGTGATATGCCAGATAACTTTCGTCGCTCCGACGACCGGTGCCGCACATCCACCACGCAGAATGTTCTGTTGCCGTAAGAACTCCCAATCAGAGATAGAACGCGTTGGGGGACTCCGAATTGACGTAGTGCGTTCAACAGCGTGCCGACATTCAGCGAATCTCAAGATTGCCTCCAACCCAATGCGACAAATGCTGTACCCACAATTTTTGTCTGCGTATGATAACTTATATATTGGTGGACAGCATGTATCGCATCCGATGTCCCAGGCACTCTGCGGAATCCAAACTGTGGCGGTGATCATTTGTCCTCTGCCTCTGAATCTTGTAGTCGCCGACAAAAAGACTAGCCGTTAACCTGTACGCAACACAAAGCAGACTGATGGGATTGTAATTGTCGCAATTGTCGATGGCCCCCTTGTTCTTACAAATCGTTGAGATGATAGTGTGCTTCCAGTCTCCAGGCACGGCTCCCTCATTCCAACACTTGTTGCATAGTTACATCCGTGAGCCACTCAAGCCCGCCCGGGTCTGTAGCGATAGCTTTCCAGTACTCGGCTGGCACATCGTCCACATTTTAAGCTTTGCCGCGCTTAAGTTTATCGGTTGTTTTCTTGTTCTCTCGTGGTGAGAAATCCGACTCCGACACATGCAAAACATCTCTGGATGGAGCGTCCAGCAGTTCAGCGGAGCTTTGTTGCCATTGAATGTTCTTTGAATGTTCCGGCATGGTCTCTGTTCCTCTCCGTGTATTTTCCACCAGTTCTTCGCTCATGTTTTTTAGCCTCCCTTGGCGACGAGGTTTGAGCCGACAAAGCCGTCTCAAAGCGTCCCAGCTGCCAGTCGAAATTTGAACATCAATCCAAGCTGTTTTGTCTTCTTTGCACGCCTTGCGCACATCTTTCAGCAGTCGTCTTTCTTCGACTTTGTAGTTGGCCGTTCCTGCCTCGGTGCGGCGGCGAATGAGATCAAGAGTGCGTTGCGTAATCCATGGCTGTTGCCTCGGACGCTCGCTGGCTGCAGCTTGCATCGCCGTCTTCCCTGTGTCCCACATGTCTTGCAAATCAGCCGGCGGCCCCGGATAAGAAGAACATCTTCCTATAGATGCGCCCACGTATTTTTGCAGTACGCTTGAGTCTTGCATGCAATCTCTGTTCGGCTTTCCCGTTGCCCGCGGTAGTTGTGTAACTGGTTGTACAACAATGTCTGCGACCAGCAGGTAATGGTCTGCAGCAAGGGCCGCTTCCCGGTGGCGTCGTAAAGTCGCAATGTGAGGTCGAACATGTGCTTCGTAAATGAACACGTTCAAGATCTTGTAGACCTCCTCCGTTATGTCCCCCGTTGCCAACGCGCCCGTTTCCACGAATGTGAGTTTCTCTTCTAACGTTTGAGGAGCCAACGTATTCATACTTTGCAAAGTCACCACCAGTGCAAGACTCTACCATCAAGTTCCTGTTAGGCCTGTCAATTTCGGCTCGCTCGCGACGTCCCCATCCAAAGTGTCCCACAGTAGCGTCTTCTCCTGGATCAGCTCTCCCCATTCTGGCGTTGAAGTCGCCGACGATCAGCTTGCCAGCGGCGGCATTGCAAGATTGGTACGTTGGATCCGAAGGTGTTAGAAATTTACGTCTTTCAAGGAGCGGCTTGACGTTGTGAGGCGCGTGCCCGGTGATGACGGGGCTCGGAACCCAGGCCGCTGGGCGGACTTGAGGTGCGCCTGCTTCGGGGGTGCCGCCTGCGGAGGCGGCCCCAGCAGCCAGGGGGCCTAAGGCGACGTCGACGGCGCGGTCAGCGACGCGACGGCGGTTTCTGGCCCGCTTCCGGGCGCTTACCCTTCAGGAGTCGGGAGCCAGAATCAGTAAAGTAATGGATTTCGCCCCAGACAGCAATTTGTTGTCCTCGACGGCGGCGGGTACTGATGTATCTGGGGGAGGCGAGAAAACCATGAGAAAGCCGCGATTGAGGGTGGGCGCCGTCGCCGCTGCGAGAGTGCAGCCAGGCAGAAGAGTCTGAGGGACTGTCGAGGATTTGTTCCCCACATGTTTCGTGGGGTTCTGGTTTTCATCACTGCCGCGTCGTTCCCGCGTCTCCCGAACACCTCCCCTCCTCCTCTTCATCTCCCTTCAGACACGTGATGGGGACACCCATGAGACACACGTCCATATACAGCCTGACACACATCTCACACCGTGCCTCTTCTCGATGCTACAACGGGGTGCGCAAGGGGGTACGGTCGCCGTTGCGGGTTCGCAAAGCGTGGCAGGCGTGACACTTCCTCGACGCCGCAGGGGGTGCGCACGGGGTGCTATCGCTGTTTCGGGCTCGCAAAACATGGCAGGCGTGACACTTCTTCGACGTCACAAGGGGTGCACTGGGGGTGCAGTCCCTATCCGTTGCGGCCTCGCACGGCGTGGGAGCCGTGGCGCTTTCTCGGCGCCGCAGGGGTGCGCTGGGGGTGCGGTCGCTGTCCGTTTCGGCTTCGCAAAGCGTGGCAGCCGTGTCACTTCTTCGATGCCACAGGGGGTGCGCTGGGGGTGCGTTGGGGGTGCGGTCGTTATGCGTTTCGGGCTCGCAACGCGTGGCAGGCGTGGCACTTTCTCGACGCCACAGGGGGTGCGGTGGGGGTGCGGTCGCTATCCGTGTCGGCCTCGCAAAGCGTGGCAGGCGTGACACTTTCTCGACGCCACAGAGGGTGCGCTGGGGGTGCGGTCGCTATCCGTTTCGGCCTCGCAGCGCGTGGCAGGCGTGGCACTTTCTCGCCGCCGCAGGGGGTGCGCTGGGGGTGCGGTCGCTATGCGCTTCGGGCTCGCACAGCGTGGCAGGCCTGGCTCTTCTTCGACGCCACAGGGGGTGCGCTGGGGGTGCGGTCGCTGTCTGTTTCGGGCTCGCAGCGTGTGGCAGGCGTTGCGTTTTCTCGATGCCACAAAGGGGGTGCGCTGGGGGTGCGGTCGCTATTCGTTTTGGCTTCGCAGAGCGTGGCATTCGTGGTAGTTTCTCGACGCCGCAGAGGGTGCGCTGGGGGTGCGGTCGCTATCCGTTTCGGCCTCGCAAAGCGTGGCATCTTCTCGACGTCGAAGGGTGTGCGCTGGGGGTGCGGTCGCTATCCGTTTCGGCCTCGCAACGCGTGGCAGTCGTGACGCCCCTCGACGCCACAGGGGGTGCGCTCGTGTGGCAGGCGTGGTAATTCTTCGACGCCACAGGGGATGCGCTGGGGGAGCGGTCGCTGTCCGGTTCGGGCTTGCAAAGTGTGGGGGGCGCGGCGTTTCCTTGACGCCGGGCGCTTCCTCGACACCGACGCAACCGCCGTCAACTCTGCTGTAATCACCTTGGCTCAAGCCGGCTCGGCACGCTTGCGCTTTCACGTAGGCGCGCGTGTGATCCCATTTGAGGGCAGCAACCGCCTGACCTGCGCGTGGCAGTGAGGCCGCCCAAAATTGCCATAGGCGCCCTGCCACCCCCGTGTTTGGCGTTGAGGAACGCAATGATGGAGATGGGCGGCGAGCTCAGCGTGGAGAACTCGCGCAGATGCGTAAACGGATTGGTGTTGTTCGCATTTAATGCGGACCGCCGCCAGAATCACAATTGGTGACCCGATGCGCTCTGCGCGAGGTACTCTGACCTGAACGACGACGGCAAGAGGCAGAGCTTGGTGGCATACCTGCGGAACCTTGCGTCGGGCGGTTTCCCCCGGAGGCTCTCTCAGACCGGCCGCAGGAGAGTGGGGAACATGACTGCGGACCGCCAGCAAAAGTTCGGCGAGCGCGCGAGGCCGGCAGCGCTTGCGCTGACCTAGAGTCTCCCTCAGAGGCGCTGGCCACGTCTATGACGCCGATGAAGGCTATGCCCACAAAGGCCACGCCCACGAAGGGTGCGCCAACGTTCCTGGGACTTTTCCGTCCAAGGGTCCGTCCTGATGCTTTTGCTTGCGAGCGCTTTCTCCACGCCCCGTTCCATCAAACTGCCCTCGGCCTTCTCTTGCCGCGCCGAAATGGAGGCGGAGGAAGGAGGAGGAGAAGGATGGAGGAGGGGGGAGGAGGAGGAGGAGGAGGAGGAAAAGGAGGAGGAGGAGGAGGAAAAGGAGGAGGAGGAGGAGGAGGAGGAGGTCACGCAGGAAATGTGGGGTCCCTCGGTAGCGTAATTTTTGTTATCGGTATACTCATTTTGTGTTATTTCCGTCTGGTGTGTGGGGTGTGCACCAAAGGGTGTTTTCTGGCTGTTTCGGTATACCTTTGTTGTGTCCTATGTTTTTCGATGGAGCTCGGGTGCGCTAGAGATGTCCGTCGCCAGGTAGCTTCGCCTGGTGGCGCGCCAGACGGCTCCTCGGCTCGCCCTGGTGCCGCGCCATGGCGGGCTGTCGGCCCCGTCTCTCAGCGCCTGGCGGTGTTCCTGCGGTGCCTTGTCGCCTGCCGCGAGAGATGTGTTTCCCCACATGTTTCGCGGGGTTCTGGTTTCCATCCCTGCCGCGGCGCACCCGCGTCTCCCGCGCACCTCCCCTCCTCTTCTTCCTTTCTGTTGAGACACGTGATGCGCGCGCCCATGAGACGCGCGTCCACATGCAGCCTGACACACATCTCACATCGTGCCTCTTCTCGATGCTACAAAAGGGTGCGCAGGGAGTGCGTTCGCTATGCGTTTCGGCTTCACAAAGCGTGACAGGCGTGGCACTTCCTCGACACCACAGGGGGTGCGCAGGAGGTACGATCGCTATGCGTTTCGGTTTCGCAAAGCGTGGCAGGCGTGGAACTTCCTCGACACCACAGGGGGTGCGCTGGGGGTGCGGTCGCTATCCGTTTCGGCGTCGCAAAGAGTGGCAGGCGTGGGACTTCGTCGACGACACAGGGGATTGCCCTGGGGGTGCGGTCGCTATCCGCTTTGGCCCTGCAAGAGGCGTGGCAAGCATGCTTTCTCGACGCCGCAGGGGGGCGCGGTGGGGGTGCGGTCGCTATCCGTTTCGGCCCTGCAAGGCGTGGCCGCCGTGCCTTCTCGACGCCAGAGCTGTGGTCGCTATCCGTGTCGGCTTCGCAAAGCGTGGCAGGCGGTGCGCGTCCTCGACGCCACACGAGGTGCGCTGGGGGTGCGGTCGCCTCGCAAAGCGTGGCAGGCGGTGGCGCTTCCTCGACGTCACACGGGGTGCGCTGGGGGTGCGGTCGCCATGCGCTTCGGGCTCGCAGCGTGTGGCAGGCGTGGCACTTCCTCGACGCCATTAGGGGGTGCGCTGGGGGTGCAGTCGCGGCACCTTCTCGACGCCACAGGGGGTGCGCTGGGGGTGCGGTCGCTATCCGTGTCGGCTTCGCAAAGCATGGCAGGCGTGACGCGTCCTCGGCGCCGCAGGGGGTTGCGCTGGGGATGCGGTCGCTATCCGTTTCGGCTTCGCAAAGCGTGGCAGGCGTGGCACTTTCTTGACGCCGCAGGGGGTGCGTTGGGGGTGCGGTCGCTATCCGCTTCGGCCTCGCGAAATGCGGCAAGCGTGGCACTTCGTCAACGACGGTCGCTATCCGTTTCGGCTTCGCAAAGCGTGTCAAGCGTGCCTTCTTGACGCCACAGGGGGTGCGCTTGGGGTGCGACCGCTATCCGTTTCGGCGTCGCAAAGCGTGGCAGGCGTGGGACTTCCTCGACGCCACAGGGGGTGCGCTAGGGGTGCGGTCGCCATGCGTTTCGGTTTCGCAAAGCGTGGCAAGCGTGGCACGTCCTCGACGTCACACGGGGTGCGCTGGGGGTGCGGTCACCATGCGTTTCGGGTTCGCAACGTGTGGCTGACGTGGCACTTTCTCGACGCCGCCGGGGGTGCGTTGGGGGTGCGGTCGTTATGCGTTTCGGGCTCGCAACGCGTGGCAGGCGTGGCACTTTCTCGACGCCACAGGGGGTGCGGTGGGGGTGCGGTCGCTATCCGTGTCGGCCTCGCAAAGCGTGGCAGGCGTGGCACTCTCTCGATGCCACACGGGGTGCGCTCGGGGTGCTGTAGCTACCCGCTTCGGCCCTGCAAGGCGTGGCAAACGTGGTTTTTTTCTTGGCGCCGCAGGGGGTGCGCTGGCGGTGCGGTCGCTATCCGGTTTGGCTTCGCAAAGCGTGGCAGGCGTGGGACTTTCTCGACGCCGAACGGTGTGCGCTGGGGGTGCGGTCGCTATCCGCTTCGGCCTCGTAAAGCGTGGCAGGCGTTGCATTTTCTCGACGCCACATGAGGTGCGCTGGGGGTGCGGTCGCTATCCGTTTCGGCCTCGCAAAACGTGGCAGGCTTGTCACTTTCTCGACGCCACAAGGGGTGCGCTGGGGGTGCGGTCGCTATCCGCTTCGGCCTCGTACAGCGTGGCAGGCGTAACGCTTCCTCGATGCCACAGGGGGTGCGTTGGGCGTGCCGTCGCTATCCGCTCCGGCTTTGCAAAAGCGTGGCAGGCGTGGCACTTCGTCGACGCCACAGGGGGTGCGCTGGGGGTGCGGTCGCATCTGCTTCGGCCTTGCAACTCTTCTTTTGGCTGGCGTCACCACCGGTATCGGCGGGGCAACGGCCACCAACATCATTCTCACATGCTTCGCTTCAGCTACCATCTTCCCAGCAATAATATGAGTATGTGGGGTTTCTCGGTAGCGTATGTTTTCCGCAGCCCCATTATTGGGCCACGAAACGTGTGAGGGATGTGCCGAATTGGATGGGGGGGCGCGCGTGGTCACAACCACTGGGGCCTTCGGTGGCGCTCCTTAGGGGCCGCGAAGCGTGTCAGGGATGTGCCGACATACCTGGCGGGGACGCATGTGATCACAGCCTCTGGGGTCTTCGGTGGACTTCCCCATGAGGCCACGAAGCGTGTGAGGGATGGTCCGAAATTGGTGGCGCGGACGCATGTGGTCACAGCCAGTGGGGCCTTCGGTGGAGCCCCTTATGAGGCCACGAAACGTTTGAGTGGTGTGCCGAAACGGGTTGCGCTGACGCATGTCGTCACGACGGCTGGGGCCTTCGGAGCCCCTCCTGGGGCCACGAAGTGTGTGATGGGTGTGCCAACATGGGTTGCGGGAGCGCGGGGCGCGTGTGGTCAAAGCTATTGGGGCATTCGGTGGAACTCTTTGTGGTGCCACGAAACGTGTGAGGGGTGTGCCGACATGGGTGACGGAAAGGCATGTGGTCACAGCCATTGGGGCCTTCGCTGGAGCTCCCTTTGGGGTCACGAAGCGTGTGAGGGGCGTGCCAATATGTGTTGCGGGGGCGCGGAACGCATATGATCACAGCCGCTGGAGCTTGCCTTCGGTGGAGCTCCTTGTGGTGCCACGAAACGTGTGAGGGGTGTGCCGACATGGGTGGGGGAAAAGCATGTGGTCACAGCCATTCGGGCCTTCGGTTGGATTCCCTATGGGGCCACGAAGCGTGTTAGGGGCGTTCCAATACGGGAGGGGGGGAGGAGGAAAAGGAACGCGCGGCGCTGGCTTTTCAAAACGAGGTCCAAACACCACAGTACGGCTGGAAAGTATGGAGCAAGGCCCCCGGGCAGGCAGATTCGGAAGACAGTTGTACAGATCCACCTCGTCCTTCATTTTCCCCTCTTCCAGAACAGAAGGAAAACAGTCAACTGGACCTGCGTCATTGTTCGATTCCAAGAAGAAACCGCACCGCCCGTGTCTCCCTGAACGGCCATGACTCCGTTGAGTCACCTGCGGCCGACCGTTGACACGAGGAGGACTCAAGCACGATGGGGTTCAGGCGCAAGGGTGGCTGGATCAGCTCACCTGTCTCTGACACCCCCTCCTTGTTCTCCTGCTCCCACTCCTGCTCCCCCCCTTGTCCTCGTCCCCCTCCAAATCCCCTGCTCTTTTCCCTGTCTCCTCCTGCGCCTCCTGTTCCTCCCCGTCCTCCCCCTTCCTCCCCTCTTCCCTTCTGCCTCCCGCACTCCTGCTCCCCCTTCCTCCTCCCCCATCTCCCGCTCCTCCTCATTGATCACCTCCCCTTTTCCTCCTCCTCCTCCTCCTCCTCCTCCTCCTCCTCCTCCTCCTCCTCCTCCTAGAGAAGAGGCATGCAGAAGTAGGCAGGAAAGTGGAGGTGGAGGAAAAGAGATGGGGGGAGAGAGACGAGGAAGGAGGTGATGGGGGGGGATGAGGGCGAGGAGGCGGAGGCAGGAGCAGAGTAGAAGGAGGAGGAGGAGGAGGAGGAGGAGGAGGAGGAGGGGGAGGAGGAGGCAGGATGTAGGGATGCCAGTCCGTCTGTTTTGGACGGGCAGCCGAGGCTGAGCGGCATGCTGGGGAGGCTCTCGTCCGTGAAGCTCTTCGAGGAGCGCGCCTCTGGCTGCCCTTGACTGCGAGGTCGTCGTCGTCGTCGTCGTCGTCGTTGTCGTCGTCGTCGTCGTCGTCGTCGTCGTCGTCGTCGTCGTCGTTCTGCCCGTCGGCCCCGTGGCCACTCTGGGCGGAGGCCGCCGAGGGCGACGAGCCGAGACAAGGCCTCCGGCGCCGTGATTTCTTCAGAGCGTGAACGCCCCGATGTATCGATCGCCTCCCCACGGGCTGAAGAGAGAGACGTCGTCGGATGCAGGGGTTCTCCCCCTTCCAGTGCTTCCAGGGCTTCCTTGGATTCGATGCCGATTCCGGCAAGCTCGATCCGACCCGATCACGAGATTCCGACGATCCGACGCGATTCGATGCGTGCATGGTCATGGTGGTGCTGTGCACCCTGGCGCAGCCGCTCCGATTTGATCTCGACTCCGTGCCGACGCAGGCCGACCCGACGCACATGCCGAGTCGGCACGGCTTCCCGATTCGGTGCTGACGGATCCTGAGGTCCGCCCCACTCCTCAGGAGACGCCGCCCGGAACCCTGGCGCCGCGGGACCTCCCCCGCCTGCTGGACCGGACGCCCCACCGCCTGCTGAAGTCGCCGCCCGTCAGGGCCTCGCCCAAGGACTCGTCGAAAGGCCTCGCGGCCCTGGAGGAAGTGACAGGAGTCAGAGCGTGAATTGCCTACCCCGCTTTCGCTTCCAGGCAAAACCAAGTCATACCATACGCCTCCTCGTCAAGCGGCCTGACCAGTACAGTTTGCAATTTGGCATCGTTTGGTATCTCTTGGAAGCGAGGGTGGTCAAAAGCGAGGTAGGTTTGTTTCCCCCCTAAGGAGGGGAGAGAAGAGGAGGCAGATGGCGAGGAAGGGGGGATGGTCTGAGGACGGGCAGACGCCACCCCGCCTCCGCCTCCCCCTCGTCTCCCAGAGGAGAGGCAGAGGCCACCGCCACCGAGCACCAACCCATTCGCAGAGGAGCCGCCGACCTCCTGGGCGGTGGCACGCCCCAGCGTCGCCTCATTAGCAGGGCTCGAGCTCAACGGCGTTCGGGTGATTTCGTGGACCGTTTTCGCTTTGGCTTCGTCTTGCGGCAACTGTGGAACGAAGACAGAGCTAGGGATGACGAAAACAAAACGAAAACGGAAAACACCGTTTAACTCGAGCCCTGTCACCCAGTGCCCGACGACGCTCCGGCGCGCCACCGCCCAGGCGTGACCCCTCCCAACCGTCTCTAATTACCCATTGCGCTGATGTCTCTCGATCCGCTGACGGGAGCCGTGGCAGATCTGGAACCCCCCCAAGGACTGCATCGCGATATGCGCAGTGAGAAGACATGGTAGCTGTGTAAATTGGAGAAGGAGGAGGTGGCGGATGAGTAAGATGATGAGCAGGCGGATGAGGATCAGGATGAGGAAGGAGAGGTCAAGGAGGAACAGTAGCAGCAGGAGCATGAGCTTGAGCGGAAGATGCATGATGATCAGAGGAAGAGTTGGGGGAGGAGAAAGGACTACAAAAGCCCCCAGACACCCACCAGACGCCCGAGGACGACCCAAAGAAGACCCCCTTTTAATGCGGTTTCGAAGCTCAGAATTTCCCTGTGACGTACCCGACCCATCGGCACCATGAGATGATATATGGTGTGCCGACAATAGTGCGACAGCAGCGAGACGTTGCGGGGCGGAAATCTAGATCGTGCGAAGTGTGTGTGTGGCCGATTCGCAGAACAGAGGTACAAAAGTCCAGGAGGCATTGTACTGGGAAGGAGAAGCAAAAGGAAGACATCGGGGTGAAAAAAACCATCACCTCGGCAGAAGCAGCGAGAGAATGGAACATGGGCAATATCAGGTTACACAGGCGGCGACGCAACCAGACAATCCAATTGCCGCGTGGTTCCATGCCGAAGTGATCAACACCTGCGCGGCCAGTGCTCCACGTTGCTGCAGCGTCTCGGAAAATGAAGAGCTCGTGTTACTAGAGACTCGGATACATTTCTCCTTACGCCACACCAAGGCCCAACAAAAATCAACCGAAAGGCCAACGAAACCTTCCGCGCCCAAGCCCGTCCGCCTCTCAGCGGACGCGTGGTCCAAACTCCAAACGCCCCCCTATTAAATTCTAAATGTGCTCGCGCCGGGGGGGGGGGGGGCTGGGGTGACCCACTGCTCTTGAGGAGAGTTTTATAATCAGGAGAGTGGGTGGAGCATGGTCTGGGCGATTCTGCTTGGGATGTCCTCAAAATCTGCCTCCTTTGGGCTCTGGTTTGGCCTGGTTTAGCTCGGTTCGGCTTGGCTGGGCGGCGCAAGCCGCTCGAGGGGTCCTCCGGATTTGCGTGGTTTAGCCTTTGGTTTGGGCCTGGTTTCGCTTGAGACGTCCTCACAATTTCTTTGGTTCGGCTTGATTTGAGTTTAGTTTCGCTTGAGGCGTCCTAGCAGTTTGCCTGGTTTCGCATTTGTTTCGCCTGGTTCGGGCCCGGTTTCGCCTGACGTCCTTACAATTTGCTTGCTTCCTGAGCGGTTTCGCACGAAACGTCCTTGCAATTTGCTTGGTTTCGCATTGGTTTCGTTTGGTTTGGGCTTGGTTTTGCTTGAGACGTCCACGCAAGTTGCCTGGATTCGGCGCGGTTGCGCTGTAGACGTCCTAACAAGTTGCTTGGTTTCACCTCAGTTTCGCCTGGCTTGGGCCTGGTTCTGCCTGAAACGTCCTCACAATTTGCTTGGTTTCGCTCGGTTTCGCACGGTTTCGCCTGAGACGTCCTCGCAATTTGCCTGGCTTCGCTTTGGTTTCGCCTGGTTTGGGCTCGGTTTCACGTGAGACGTCTTCGCAGTTTGCTCGGCCTCGTCGTCATGGGGGGGCCCGGACGACCCGAGACACATGTATTTTTGTCACACGGTGCAGGGAAGTGAAGGAATCATTCATTCACACACGTGGTGGGCGTAAACATTCGGAATTGTATGGCCTTTGGTTGTTGTTCCCAAGACACATCTGGTGTTGTCGACGTGTGTATGACCACCGAAGCCCCATCTCCTCTCAAGTTGCTCCACGTGCGCCGAGTCCATCAGAGGAGACCCGTATGCCCAAACATATTGGATGGCAACCCGGAGGTAAGTGGACATCCTTCTCCTCATCTCTGTGACTGGGGCCCTCGCCCCGCAATCAATCCAGATGCAGGGGCCAATAACGGTAGCCTATCGCGTTGGGAAGCAGTCCTCCTTGTAGGTTGGAGTTCGCTTGCCAGGCTGCGGGTAATGCCAGCGTCATTGTTGAACAAGGTTCAAACGTGATCAGAACAGAACTGGAATGGGGCAGCACTCGCGCGCAGCAATGAAGTTTCGTTAGCTAGGGCAGCACTCTGGGCAACACTGCCTGTAACCTTGGTTCCTTATTGGATTCGAGCCTCGCAACGACAGATGATGGCATGTGTCCATGACGCTCGAGACATATACAACACATACAACAAATACCACATATATTCTGCATACAACATATACAACACGAACAACAGATATCACCTATACCTCCTAATAAGCTCGTTCAGCATGCGCACCACGTACAACCTATGCAGGCCCATACACCATATACAACAACACATGCATCACATACGAAATATACAACAGGTACTAGCTATGCATCCGAGGCAATAGCCACCACGCAGGCACCACAAACAACCTATACATCCCATAGAACTGCTACAAGAGAAATTGAGTATACTTACTTGCACCAGCTATATCTTATAGAGCAGATGCCCCTTACGCAGATAAACGTCATGCACGACCCGTCTCACATGTACAACATCTGCCATCAATCCACCATCTACAAGATGGACATGATACACATCATGCGTACCATATACAACGTAAACGTATGATACAGCGTACCTACTGCATCCTCCACGTACTCCATGTTTTGTAGAAACAACGTGCACATCGTTTACAACACATTTAACATACACTACGCACTCGATGTATGCTACGCACATTGCATACATACCATATACATCACTTCCAGTAAAGCCGCATCTGCAAACACACACAGACACACACACACACACTGGTTACAGCACACTCAACCTATACAGCATGTACCACATGTATCAGTCCTCCTCGTCGTGCTCCTGAAAGTCCTCCTCGAAGTCCTCCTCGAAGTCCTCCTCGAAGTCCTCCTCCGCGTCCTCCCCGAAGTCCTCCTTGGACGCCCTCCTCGAGCCTCGAAGCCCGCCCCGACGTCCGCCTCGGAGTCCGAAGTCCGCCCGCCCCAGGCTCCTCGAAGTCCTCCTCGAAGTCCTCCTCCACCAGCCGGGCGCAGCGCCGCCGCGCCCACCAGCCGGGCGACGCGGCGGCGGACGCCAGCGGCGGCGGAGGCCCCGCGCCGCGCGCGCGCGGGCTCGGCGCGCGCCTCGGGCGCGTTCGGCAGCGTTCGGAGGCTCGCGGGGGGCCTTCGGAGGCCCTCGGAGGCCTCGGGCCCTTGGCGCGCGCGTCGGGGGGCCTTCGGCGGCCCTCGGAGGCTCGCAGGGAGGCCTCGGAGGGCCTCGGAGGCCCTCGGAGGCCGCGTGCCCTCGGAGAGGCCTCGTGGGCTCGTCTGGAGCGAAGCGCTTGTTGCGGCCTCCAGCTGTATCGAGACACCGTCAGGGGAAATCGCAAGGCAAATGTATGCACATATGGGGGCTTCTGCGCCGAGTAATCTTTGTCTGTGCGCTGGGCCAACACATCGAATTTGCATCTGCGCCTTGCTGCGTGCCCTGATTGCCCTTTTCCGAGGCCTCCCGGGGCCCTCGTTGCTGCCACGTCTGGATCCGCCTTGAGATCTCTGGCCAGGGCGCACCCCAGGACAGGTCGGGGGGGCTGCAATCACCCTGCGGCACGGGCAGAAGCACGATTGGCGCTCGTGTCCACGATCATGGCGTCCGGGGGCCGCCGCGACAGCCCGAAGAAGCAAACGTTGTATGAACATAACCTTCCGGAGCTCCGCACGGACTGCTTGGAATCCGCGCTGGACCCCCCTGGCGGCGCCTCCGGCGCCGCCCTTGGCGTGCTCCGCGCGCCAGAGAGGGAAGCCACAAGCGCCGATCTAAGACATCCACGTGGAGCGCCGACATGTTATGTTTACATTTTTTCGTTGTTCTGGGAGATGTGTGGGCCTGGGAACGGCCGGCAGGACACGAGCAACTCGCCCTGGTCGGGAAGAGGACCAGGGAGGACGGAGGGATCCAGGAATGGAGTATGGGCGAAGGGACGGAGCGACGGGGACGAGGAGGAGGACGAGCGTAAACCCAAGAGTCGTCAACGATGTTAGAACCAACCCTCCCTCCAAGCTCCCTCGTCGTAGGCCCCTACAACTGCTCATTTTCATTGAGGGAACGGCCTTGTTGGAAGATAGCCGTTTGAAGACCCTGAATCATGCCAAAACATTACTCTCGGGATTCCAACGCCACGTATCACCTGACTGTTGCGTCTTGACGATCCTGAGTCGTGCCAGAACGTCAGTCTTGGGATTTCAACGCAGCGAATCAACGTAGCTGTTGCGCCTTCATGATCCTGAATCTCTCCGAAACGCAATTTCCGGTACGCTGATCATGGGAATCTACAAACAAATGCGCGCGGCGCTAAGGCGACAGCCACATTTTCAAGAGGAGCCGTCCTCAACCCGTGAAACTCTTGCAATTGTTGGAAACGAATGCGCGCGGCGCTAAGGCAAGAGCCACATTTTGAAAACGGCCCGCCCTCATTCGGTGGAACTCTTGCAACTGTTTAAAACGAATGTGCGCGGCGCTAAGGCGAGAGACACTTTTTGAAAACGACCTGTCCTCAACCCGTGAAGCACTTGCAAATGTTTCGAACGAATGTGCGCGGTGCGGAGGCGAGAGCCACATTTTGAAAACGACCCGCCTTCCATCTGCGAAACTGGTGCCAATTTTGAACCTTCCGAATGATAAATGATGAGGAAGTCTCAGGCGAAACACCCGGCCCGCTCTAAAATCTGGCCTTGGAGTGCGACAGGGAGAATTGATGTATAAGGAAAAAGAATGGAGGGGGAGGGGACGGGGGAGGGGGAGGGGGGAGGGAGGAGGAGGACCAATGGAAACCCAGGACTCACCAACGGTGTTGCAATAAACCCTCCTTCCAAGTTCCCACCCTCCTGCGTTGGGCATTTGTCTTGAATGGAGTATTGCGGTCTCCACCTCCTCCTCCTCCTCCTCCTTCCCGCCACCTGTCTCCTCTCTCCTGCCTCTCACTTCGCTCCTTCCTGCGACCTGCCAAAATGTCGTCAGTTCCGAGGGCTGCTGCTGGGTGCAGCGGAGTGACGTCCTACGCGGACTACCAGGAGACCTCGCCATCCTTGGGGTGCTGCGATCTGCGAAGCTGTCGCCAGTTTCTAGGGCTGCTTGGGGGTGCAGCAGAGTGGCTGCCCACGCGAACCACCAGGAGACCTCGCCATCCCTGGGGGGCTGCGATCTGCGATGCTGTCGCCACTTTCGAGGGCTGCTGGGGGGTGCAGCGGAGTGACGAATTACGCGGACCACCAGTAGACCTCGCCACCCCCGGGGGGCTGCGATCTGCAAAACTGCCGCCAGTTTGGAGGCTTGCTGGGGGGTGCAGCAGAGTGGCGTCCTCCGCGGACCACCAGGAGACATCGCCAGCCCTGGGGGCTGCGACCTGCTAAGTTGTCGCCACCTTCGAGGTCTGCTAGGGGGTGCAGCGTAGCGACGTCTTACGCGGACCGCTAGGAGATGTCGCCACGTTCGAGGGCTGCTGCTGGGTGCAGCGGAGTGACGTCTTACGCGGACTACCAGGAGACCTCGCCATCCTTGGGGTGCTGCGATCTGCGAAGCTGTCGCCAGTTTCTAGGGCTGCTTGGGGGTGCAGCAGAGTGGCTGCCAACGCGAACCACCAGGAGACCTCGCCATCCCTGGGGGGCTGCGATATGCGATGCTGTCGCCACTTTCGAGGGCTGCTGGGGGGTGCAGCGGAGTGACGAACTACGCGGACCACCAGTAGACCCCGACATCCCTGGGGGGCTGCGATCTGCAAAACTGCCGCCAGTTTGGAGGGTTGCTGGGGTGTGCAGCGGAGTGGCGTCCTACGAGGACCACCAGGAGACCTCGCCATCCTTGGGGGGTTGCGATCTGAGAAATAATCGCCAGTTTCGAGGGCTGCTGGGGGGTGCAGCGGAGCGTTGTCTTACGCGGACCACCAGGAGACGACGCCATCCCTGGGGCATTACGATCTGCGAAGCTGTCGCCAGTTTCGAGTGTTGGTGGGAATGTATCCGAGTGACGTCTTACGCGGACCACCTGGAAACCTCGCCATCCTCGGGGGGTGCAGCGGAGTGACGTCCTACGCGGACCACCAGGAGACCTCGCCTTTTCTGGGGGGGTGCGATCTGCGAAGTTGTCGCCACTATCGAGGGCTGCTGGGGGGGTGCAGCGGAGTGACGCCTCACGCGGACCACCAGGAGACCTCGCCATCCCTGGGGGGCTGTGATCTGCGAAATTGTCGCCACGTTCGAGGGTTGCTGGGGGGTGGAAAGGAGTGACGTCATTACGCGGACCACCAGGGGACCCCGCCATCCCTGGGGTGCTGTGCAATCTGCAAAGCTGTCGCCAGTTTGAAGGATTGCTGGGAGGTGCAGCGGAGCGGCGTCCTACGCGGACCACCAGGAGACCCCGCCATCCCTGGGGGGCTGCGATCTGAGAAATAGTCGCCAGTTTCGAGGGCTGGTGGGGGGTGCAGCGTGTCGTCTTACGCGGACCACCTGAAGACCTCGCCATCCTTTGGAGGTTCTGATCTGCGAAACTGTCGCCACGTTCGAGGGCTGCTAGAGGGGGCAGCGGAGTGACGCCTTACGCGGACCACCCGGAGACCTCGCCATCCTTGGGAGGTTGTGATCTGAGAAATAGTCGCCACGTTCGAGGGCTGCTGGGGGGTGGAGCGGAGTGACGTCATTACGCGGACCACTAGGAGACCCCGCCATACCTGGGGCCAAGCGGAATGACGCCTTTTTCTGTTGCCTGGGGGTTGTTTCGAGTTCGGGGTTTGTCAGGGAGGAAGCAGAGAAGCTGACGGACGAGCGAGGCTCCGCTTCCTTCAAGCACGACTTATAAGCAGAGTTCGTAGTTTTTTTCGAGCTCCGCGACGACATCGCGCAGGCAGCGCTGCATCTGTAGCGCACCACCGACAAACGCAACAATCTTCGGTCTTTTCCCGTCACGTTCGTCGTCGTCCCCTGCCCCGTACCATTTTCCCTCTGCTGGTGCCGCGCTGACGGTCCGCCTTCCCGCGCGCCCTTCTTTTGCCATTCGGTCCCGCTTCCATGTCCTCCTCAAGCCTGGGCCATCGCTCCTCGTCCCTTCGGTGTTGTCCCGTGAGTCGTGCCACGCGAGCGCACCCCATGTAGTGTGCACAACATGTGACGGCGCCTGCGCCGCCATAATCCTGGCAAGTTTGTGCCAATTCCTCTTGTCACTTGATGCAAACGAACTGGTGCGTCACAGGGTAAGCGTGTTCCCGATCCCTTGCGCGGGCCATCAGGAGAACTCGCAATCCCTGGGGGGCTGCGGTATGCGAAACTGTCGCTAGTTTCGAGGGCTGGTGGGGGGTTCAGCGGGGTGACGTCTTACGCGGACCACCAGGAGACCTCGCCATCCTCGATATGCGAAGCTGCCGCCACGTTCGAGGGTTGCTGGGGGGTGGAGCGGAGTGACTCCCTACGCGAGCCACCAGGGGACCTCGCCATCCCTCGGGGGGGGGGGCGTTGTCGCCACGTTCGAGGCTGCTGGGGAGGGGGGGGCAGTTGAGCGACGTCCCACGCGGACCACCTGGAAACCTCGCCATCCCCTGGGGCACTGCGATCTGCGATGCTGTCGCCACTTTTGAGGGCTGCTGGGGGGGGGGGGTCCAGCGGAACGACGTCCTACCCAGACTCGAATGAGACTTCGCCATCCCTTCAAATGAAATCTCGCATCTTTGGGAGTCTGCGATCTGCGAGACTATCGCCTGTTTCGGGGGCTGGTGGGGGGTGCAGCGAGGCGGCGTGCTACCCAGAAGCGAATGAGAACTCGCCATCTCTGGGGGGGGGGGGGGGGGGCGATTTCCGAACCTGCCGCCGCTTTCGAGGTTTGCTTGGGGGGGGGGGGTCCAACGAAGCAACGTCCGATCCAATTTCAAATGAGACCTCGCCATCCCAGAGGGTGCTGCGATCCGCGAAACGTTCGCCACGTTCGAGGGGTGCTGGGGGGTCCAGCGGAGTAACGTCCTATCCAGATTCGGATGATACTTCGCTATCCCTGTGGGGCTGCGATCTGCCAGACAGTCCCCACTTTCTAGGGCTGCTGGGGGTCCAGCGGGGTGGCGTCCTATTTAG